GATAATCGCATCTTTCCAAGTGTATAGGCCAAAACCCCCGAAGTCTTGTTTGACTCCTATCTTCCCTTCCTACCTTCCCCTACTCCACATACATCTAAATCATCAACAAATTTGTCTATGACAGCATCAGAATATGTTCAGAATCACACCATTTTATAGATCTCTACCAGAATATCCTTGTTCCTAATCACCATCACTTCTCCCCTACAACAGCTTCCTACCTGATGTCCCTCTAAATCTCCATGCTGTGCAGAGCTTATACAGGATTAGTGACAAGTGGAAGCTTTTTACTGAGTTTCCTCAACACTACAGTCAGTGTGATTTTAGAACATGTATTAGGGAGCACACCTCTCCTCTGTTCAGAATTCTTCCATGGATTCCTGTCCCACACAGAGTAAATGCCCAATTTTTTCCATGGGCCTGGGCCCTGCTACCTCTTCAACTTCAGCTTTCCCACCCTTCTTCCTGCTCATTTACAGTTGTTTCCTTGGTCCAAATAAGCATGCTATTACCTCCATGCTGCTGCTCCCTCTATTCCCTTCCCAAGATTTTCAATGGGCTTCCTCCCCCACTCATCTCAGGTCTCTGCTTGGAGGTCACATCAACATCGAGGCTTTTCCTGTCTTCCCTACATTCTCCCCCTATCCCACCCTGACCAACAGTGCCTACCCCACTTTGCTGGTTTATTTTTATGCCTTAGCAACTCACCACCAACTGTTCTGCTATACATTTATATGTTTAATTATCTGTATCTGAAAAGAATGTATACTGCATAAGGTAAGGGGCTCTTTCATTCACTGTTGTCTTGCAATAAGCATTCAATAATTGTTTAAAAAACAGACAAGACCAAGCCCTGGCTGGGTAGCTTAATTCGTTAGAACATTGTCAAGATACACCAATGTTGCTGATTCAATCCCTGGTCAGGGCACATACAAGAATCAACCAATGAATGAATAAATAAGTGGAACAACAAATATGTGAATATTTCTCTCTCTTTCTCTCTCCCTAACCCCTCCTCTCTCTCTCTCAAATCAATACATTAAAAAAACAAAAACAAAGAACAGACAAGTCCAACTGCTCATCTACACATGAAGAAACAGGATCAGGGAGGTCCTGTGCCTTGTATTTGGTCTTACGTTGAGACAGCAGAGAACCCCGTGTACAGCCTTCAATTCCCACTGCCCTCACTGCACATGCAGTTTTTAAACTTTCTGGAGCTTTCACAAGTTTCCGTAATATTTATTAACAACTAACTTCTTCCTTTTCTAGAATTCAAACAGAAGAAGATCCCATTTCTTTCTTACCTTTATTTTTTCAATTAGTGCTTCATTTTCTGGCACACCAGGGTTTATAGCAATGATGATGCCTTCATAGCCATTGTTATTCAGCCGAACAAAGGAAGTATCGGACCCCTGCAGCAGGTATAGGACTAAGAGGAAGACAAAACTTCTGAATAACACCATTGCTGCTCTCCAGTTGATCCAGGACCGAGGGGCTTTGCTAGACCCTTCTCTCTCCGTATATATACTCCTAATCCTTATAGGTGGGGCTGATTATGGGTTGCAGACTGCACAAAGATCAGTGTTACATATGAGACCAAATATTTGAACTTACGTAATCATTTTATTGTCTGTTACTGTAAAAGTGATAAGAAAAATAGTAGTAATCAGATCATTTTATAAAATACATTCTCAATTTTTTACTTGGGAAGTTTTTTCTATATTTTCTAATTTTGCTTAATTTCCTAAATATGAACATATACTTTGTATTTTCTGTAGAGTACAATGTGAAAATTAATAAAATTTCATAATGAAATGAATAGAAGAAATAATGCTAATGTTTTTTTTTTCATTTTTCCAAAGGAACTTAATTATTTTGAATATTTACCAAAAGTATAAATAATGGAAGAAAATGTAAGATTATTAAATGTAAATAACACCAAATTAGGTAAGATGTCTTCGAAATATAAATTAAAAAAACTTTAAGTAGTTTGATAAATTAAGGAAGATTTGATAAAGTTATTAGAGTAAAATTTTAACAACTCCTGCCCAGAAAATAATGAATAGAATTAGCTTTTATATAAGCACTAGAGGCTCGGTGCACAAAAATTTGTGCACTCTGGAGGAAGGGGGGGGGGTCCCTCAGCCTGGCCTGTGCCCTCTTGCAGTCTGGTAGCCCTAGAGAGATAACGCCCTACTGGCTTAGGCCTGCTCCCCGGTGGCGGAGGGCAGGCCAAATCCCTAGGTGCAGCCCCTGGTCGGGCTCAGAGCAGGGCCGATTGGGGAGTTGGGGCGC